TACCCAGTAATCCTAGGAATGCCTGGCTAAAGCAACATGACCCGAAGATTGGCTTCGCTAGCCACACGTTGACGTTTGAGAGCGAGTACTGCCAGAAACACTGCAACACGCCTGGAAGGCCAAACAAGATCCACGCTCTGCACGAGCTCCCGCCAAAATCCCGCCCGATTGACCTGCCCGACCGCCCAAAGCTGCTGAGGAATCGAGATATCGCGAAGGTATCGCTGAACGCTTGCGCTGCGTACGCCCGAAGAAACTACCGTATGTTTACGATCACGATCGAACAGATAGATCGCTATCTGTCCCAGCCTGACACGCCTGAGTTACTAGACCCTAAGTCCCTACTGCCAGAGGAGATAAGGGACTTCTGGGACGTCTTCTCGCCCAAAGAAGCGGAGAAGCCCTCCACACCGCTCACACGACCATGACATCCGCTTACTTGATGGCAAGACGCCGCCCTTCGGGCCGCTGTACCCTATGTCCCGAGAAGAACTTAAAGCCTTAAAGGAATGGCTAGAGGAGAACCTGCGGAAGGGCTTTATCCGGCCAAGCTCTTCGCCTGCCGCCTCGCCTGTACTGTTTGTTAAGAAGCCGGATGGAGGCCTCCGGTTCTGTGTCGATTACCGAGGACTAAACAACATCTCAGTAAAGGACCGCTACCCGCTGCCGCTCGTAAAGGAGAGCTTAAATAACTTGAAGGGAATGAAGTACTTCTCCAAGGTTGATATCATCGCTGCCTTCAACAACGTACGTATGAAGGAAGGCCAGGAGTATTTGACTGCATTCCGAACGCGATTCGGCCTGTATGAGAGTCTGGTGATGCCGTTTGGCCTATCTGGAGCACCAGCTACCTTTTAGAGGTTCATCAACGATACCTTGAGGGAATACTTGGACGTTTTCTGCACTGCCTACCTAGACGACATTCTGATCTACAGCCGAACTAGAGGAGAACACGAAAAACACCTGCGCCTGGTACTAACCGCGCTGCGAAAAGCCGGACTGTACGCAAAGATCTAGAAGTGCGAATTCTTTAAGGAAGAGACTACCTTCCTAGGCGTTATTGTTGGACGCGAAGGGATTCGCATGGACCCACAGAAGGTCGAGACAATACAGGAATGGAAAACCCCGTCCTGCCTGACTGACGTACAAGCGTTTATCGGATTTAGTAACTTCTACCGTCGGTTTATACAAGACTTCTCGAAGATTATCGCCCCGCTAGTCGCTCTTACAAGAAAGGGTATTAAGTTTGTCTGGAATAGTGACTGCCAGAAGGCCTTCGACCGTCTGAAAACCGCATTTACAGAAGCCCCGATCCTGGCCCCGTTCGACTGGGAAAGGGAGATTATCCTAGAGACGGACGCATCCGACTATGTATCCGCTGGAGTGCTATCTCAGTACGGAGACGATGGGATACTTCGACCCGTAGCGTTCTTCTCTAAGAAACACTCAACGACTGAGTGTAATTATGAGATATACGATAAAGAACTGCTCGCGATCGTACGCTGCTTCGAGGAATGGAGACCTGAGCTGGAAGGAACCGCATCGCCAATTAAGGTTATTACAGACCACCGCAACCTAGAGTACTTTACAACTACTAAGTTGCTGAACCGACGACAAGCCCGCTGGTCTGAATTCCTGTCCCGCTTTAACTTCCGGATCACATACCGCCCTGGCAAGCTGGGTGCGAAGCCTGACGCGCTGACCAGGAGGTCAGAAGATCTGCCTAAGGAGGGGGATGAACGCCTGCAGCACCAGAGCCAAGTCGTGCTAAAGAAGGAGAACTTCGATCTGCCTCCAACCCCGCTGGACACGCCCGCTACAACCCCCGTACTAGCCGCCGCCCGCCTTGTCAACAGACTCCGCAACAAACAAATCAATCAAATATCGCCTGCTGTATTTGATTGTTTGGTGAAGGCTTGGCAACCGCGCCGTATTTGATTGTTTGATTGGTGTTTTGAAGCTGTATATTTGATTGATTTGCAAATATTTGGTGTTGTATAAAAGTCTTGGCGTTTGTTTTTAGTGTTGTAGGCGGCTGCTAGACGCCTCATGCGTCGCTCTGATTGTCCTCTACCCAGTTTTGTATACTATATTTGCGGGCGAGCTCGTCGTCGCTGATAGCGCCGTCGCCGCTATTGTCGTCGCCACGCTTGGCGTTGTAGGTGTATCCAGCCCGGGTCCAAGAGCGTATAAGCTGCAAGGCGGCGAGCAGCTCACTGCTGATAGCGCGACGTTTTGGCTCTAGTAGATCGCCGAGCTCGCTGAATAGTCGCTCACACTCGCAGCTTGATGCTGGGATAGTTAGTATATCAATGGCAAAACGGCTCAATTGGGGGTATTTTGGCGCTATCGTCATCCAATATCGGACTGCGTTGCCATCGTTGTGATACGTTGCAGTACTCCAACTCGGCTCCTCCTCTAGCCAGCGATCGTACTCGTCGCCGCCGTCTCTCCTCGCACAGTTACGACGCGCGGTGAGGGCTTCGATCACGTCGTCGATCGCGCCTGTACGAGCTGGTTGTGGTGGAGGACTCGGCGGTGCCTTCTTATATGACCGCCACAACTCTTGAAATCTAGCGTTTGCAGTACGTAGCCATCCATCTTTATGCTCCCATGAGTTCTCGCAGTAGTATTTGTAGTACGGGTGGAGACAAGTAGCGGCGTAATATACTGGTGAGTCGTCGAGCTTACGGTAATACTCCTCAGCCTTTACCCAAGCGTTGCGTAGGTTAATATGAAGGTGATCTTCAGGCGCCTCCTCGTGTGCGTCAAACACTACGTCAACGTATGGCTCGGCTAGCTTTTCAAGCTGATCGAGTAGATACTCAAACACGGGCAAGACCTCGTGGATAGCTCCGAAGCTACTGCCATGGTGTTTGCCACGCCCCTCCAGCCGTTTTGTAGTGATTTTCAGTGGTTCAAGGCATCGTTGGTACTCAGTAACGACCGCCCAATCTGCTGCCTGGAGCCCGCCCGACCTCATCCACGCCGGAGCGTCGCTCTGGGTGCCACGCCGCTCCTCGTAGGCGACGCGGCTCACGTGTTTCTCAATATAGAGATCGAAGCCGCCCTTGAGATAGGTTGCCCGCTCGAGAGCGCTGTAGTATGAGTTCCAGCGCGTAACAACTGGCTTAATCGGTCGCAGTATTTTGACGCGCGCAGCGGCGGGGAGGTCGTTGTTAGAGGCTTCCAGGCACTCAGTAAATAACGCGTATTGCTGTGGTGTTTTAATGTATGTGATTACAGAGAGGAGCGTACCGAGAGCGCCATGCTTACGCCACGCTGCTATGAACGCCTCCTCGTCGTCGATATGTTCGGCAGCGTTGTCGTACGCGTCCTTGTTGTTGCCAAACAACAGAGCCTGCCCGATGAGGTTGATAGTGTGAGGGCCGCAGCGGAGGCGTCGCTGCGTCGGGTTGAAGTCTCCAAACTCGCGCGCTACAGCCGCGATCGTAGTGTCGTTGTTGCTAGCATTATCAAGTACGAAGTAACCCAGCGTATCTGACGTGATCCCGTATGCCCGTAGTGTTGCAACAACAGCTGTAGCGATCGCCTCACCGGTGTGGGCACCGTTGAGCTGCGGCAGAGCGATAGGCAGGTCGTGGATCTCACCTGACGCTGTGGCAAAGTGAGCAACGATCCCAAAAAAGCCCCGCGCCCCTCCCTTTGTCGTCCAGCCGTCAAAGCTTATATGTATTTTGCTAGCAGCGCTAGACAAGGCGTCGACAATCTGCGGCCGTATAGCGTGGAACAGCCGCATCGCGTAGGTTGCAATACTGCGCGGGGATCGCCACAACGCGCCCTCTGCCTCTGTACTCACTTCTCTGAAAAGCTCGCGCGTTGAAGCTCTACTAATAATCTCCATTGGCAAGTTATTGTCAAGGAGCCATAACACTAACGCATGGCGGAAGCGCTGCATGTCGAAGTTGCCCATCGCGTTGGCTGTAGATTGTGATATTTCGAAGCCACCGTTAATCGCCTCGCGTAGTGAGAGCTGTCCAATCGGACGTTTTGGTGTAGTAATTGAGCCCGTACGGCAAAGGCTATGGCCCTTGATAGGCTGGGCGAGGTGGGCGGCGGCGGAGGACGTGGCTTTTGAGCAGTCGATGATAACGGATGGTGCCTTGTGTATATGGCAGTATTTACACACCCAAAGCGGGCGTGTAGGTTGATCTATACGCACGACGCGGTATCCGTGTGCATATACCCAGCTTTGTGTTCTCCCGGGTTGCTTCAAGGGCTTGATATAGCGACCCCCAAGCCGCTCCCAATCGAGCCCATTGAAGTTATCGCCGCCGTTATCGATATAGCCATCCTCAGCTATCTCTGTTGTTGTTGCTACAGAGCCAGTGCCATCGTGGCTGCCCTCGGTGGGCGTGGACAGTGATTCTTGAGGTTGTGACTCGAGCTGCTGCCTCTCCCAAGCTTGTGAGGGTGTTGTGGGTGGTGGCGGGGTTGCTGAAATTCTCAATCGCTTCGTTGAGGTTGTAGGAACGTTTGACGAACGCGCGCGCTTCTTAGAAGCTTTGGGGGGCATAACAGTGGGCGTCGCGATGCTTTGATTGTCACGGGATCGCGCGCGTCGGCCGGGCTGAGGTTGATAATGTGCGCTAGCGTCGTTAGGGGCGAGTTCAGATGGCTAATTTAGAACACCAAAACACTAAAATCAACGCGCTCACAACCTAACAAACTGCAAAAACTTAGCCTAACAAAACACTAAATACTTGCAAATATTTGCAAATGTTACAATCTTTATGCTTGTTTGTTTGGTAAAAAAAGCTACCTATGTTTGATTCATGTTTGTTTGTTGCGGAGTCTGCATCCATGCAGTTTCGAGCCGGTACCTACTACTGCAGTCTTCTGCGGCTGCGCGAATAACCTGTCATTTCGAGCAGTGATTGTTCGGTGCGATGATCGTTCTTTTAGATTTGCAAGTAGATGGAAAGTAGTTTTGGGCTCATTCATTATTTAGCTAACGACTCGAGATAAAGCTGCAAACACTATGGATAGGCCTCACGGGCAAACTTCAAATCATTCTCGGATAAACGGGTATTCCAGTTGACGGTCTTGTTGTCTTCAAGTTCGCCTCGATCAAAGGCGTAGATCATGATTGAGTCGAGATCAGTCTTGTCTCCGAAGAGCTTGACTTTATCTCCGGTGACGGTGCCAAGAACGTTTCGCTGAATATCTTCTATGCTCCAATTCTTGTATGCCTCGCTCTTCTTTACTTCCTCGATATTTATCTTGAAGGGGAAGTCTGATCGGAGCTGCTCGTGCATGAATCCGAGGGCGTGACCGAACTCGTGGATGACGTGGCGACGGACAGCGTCTTCGTTTGTTTCGTTCTCGATGTCGAGGTTCATGGAGGCGCATTCTGGGTTGTCGTCTTTGTCTTCTTGGGTGCGACGGTTCCAGATTCCGGAGGTGGCAAGACAGTCTGTACCGAGATAGGACCACCATTTGCCGTTTGACTTGAAGCGGACGCGGATGTGGGCAAAGGCATCGTTGTCCTTGACCTTGACGAACTCGATGTTTGCACCGCGGCCTGCGCCGGCAGTCTTTGAAATTTTGCTCCATTCCATTGCGTAATTCATGACTTTCTTCTTTGTCTCCTCTTTACCGTTGAGGAAACTGACCGTCAGGGTAATCGGCCCAGGTTTATTGCCGATGTGGTGCCACATTTTATCGGTATCTTCGACGGCGAGGTGATGGATGTGACTGTTTGTTGGTTTCTTTGGTAGCTGAGCTATTTCTGCATAAGCGAACATGGCAGCGACGCAGAGGGAGCATTGAGGATGCCTCTTGAGTCTTGCTGGAGGGGCAGCATCGTATCTTGGAATTGGAGCATCGGAAGGAGGACCGACAGCACCGCCGGTGGCTTCAGAAGCGTCGCCGTCACTCATTTTGTGGATGATGATGTTTGGAATGGATTGCAAGATTGGGTTGTGCCTCCATGCTTTGCAAACTGCTCACTTATAGCTTGAGCTGGTGCAAGGAATGTTGATTGCTCGAAAATGCGAGGTTTTCAGCTCTCAGGTCAGCTCTCAGGTCAGCTCACGCCCAAGCGTGCGAGCACACAGGAGCTTGTTTGCTCGAATGTGCCGCTCCTGCAAGCAAAATGAGCAGATTGCATTGTAAGATACCGGAAAGAGTCGCTGGCGATCAGGTCATGCAGGTGGATGGGATTCTAGACCGCTGCCAAGCTTTGTCCTATTGAATGCTTCGCCTCAGCCGTACGAGATGCTTTTTTTGGGGGTTGGGGGATGGATGGTTAGATGAGCTGAATCGAACTGCAGACGAGCTGAAAGATTTCCGCAAAAGCGCTCAGAGTGCAAGAGTCGTGTTTCATGCGCGTAGTGTTACGAACAGACCAATGGAAGTGCAAAAGATAATCTATCCGTCTGTGTATTGTCATGTTTCCAGACACCGGCAAGGAAGGTGGAGGAGGACGGATCGGAGCTGCAACAAGTTTTCATCGCCGTTTTTACTTCAAGGGCAAAGGAAAGCGCCGTAGAGCTGAAGATGATTCCAGACCCTTTTCCACATGCGGAGTTGGTCGCCGTGACTGGTTGCCCGACCACCTGCTAAGCCCTACCAAGCCCCTAGTCTCCCGTGCACTTGGTTCGCTGAATACGAATACCGCACTGCCAATTCTAGCTGCGCGAATGGCGTATGAAAATGGGACCATGCGAAAGACGCTACAGACGGTCTCGCAACACCGCAAGCGATGTGGCAGCTGAGATGATGATATATCTCATTCTAGATTGTGTTTCTAACTGCAAGTCTGATGAGCTGAAAACACAGTCTCATTATCTCAGAATCTCATTGGCGAATCGACCCATGGTCACCGTACACGATGCAGTGAAGCTGATCGCTCCTTCAAGCGCCGAATCCTCCCAACCGCAGCGACGCTGGCCAGAACACACTGCCATGGAGGCATATCTTTTCACCGACACGTATATTTAAGATACGCCAACCTGCCCTGGCTCGTTTAGGACGACCAGCTATTTATCAATCCAGATTTCGAAACATCCACAATGTCTGTAACATGCACCATTCAGGTTAAACTTCCCCTAGCCACATTAGCTTTCCCGAACCAGCTATTGGTGGCGAAGATACGGCCCTACGCCTTACAACAAGGGCGCAAGGACACGTCACAAGCGTGTACAGGGGAGCGCATGGACCAGCTATGTGGGGTGCTGGCCTAGAGTCCATATCACTGTAGCCTAGGCTAGACTGGGCTAGATGAGCCGTATATTGTAGGGCTGACTGGGCTTGGCTGAATAGGGGACCAAAGAACTCAAAACTGCACACCTATGCATGTATGCGGCTAAAACTGGAAGGCTGAATGCATGACAATGCGGACTACGGCTCACAACGTCTGACCGAAGACGCAGCTGACGGGTCTAGACCTTTCGGCCGTATGGGACGGAACGATACGCATATGCAGAGTATCAAGCCGAGCCATATAGAGCAGATCAAAAGTTGTCGACAACCACGCTACATATCAGCATCGGCATGCATCCTCAGCTGTGATTCAGGCTGCAGACATGCCGGAAGCAGTAGCATGAATCGAGAGGTAAGCTGGTGAATCTGGTGCTAATTGGCGTTCTTGCCCAATTGCTGGATTGACTTTCACAGAATTACTAGCAGCTGATGATGACGTGGCGAAGGCTCCGTAGTGGATCGAGAGCGAGATGTTTCTGGATGCACCCCTACCCGAAGCCGCAGCAGGCTTCATGAGCGAGCTACCACTTGACGAGGTCCTGGTGCACGGCAAGTAATTCTAGAGCTATAGTGCAGTGCACGAGACCGTGGTCGAGCTCACAGCAGAGAACGACTCTCGGAAATAAGCACCACTTGTTCCGTCACCAGTCAGATGGAATTATCTAGGGGCGGGGCGAAGCAATGCATGTCTATCAAATCACCATTGTGCGTGATTGAATGCCGCAGTCGTTGCGGTGGTGTTGCACATAGTCTAAGACTAGCTGCGACTTGCCAGCACCTCCAAGTCCCCACACGACAAGAATATTGGTATTGTTGTTTGCGGAAGGAATGCGTCGAAACACTAAATACTTGCAAATATTTGCAAATGTTACAATCTTTATGCTTGTTTGTTTGGTAAAAAAAGCTACCTATGTTTGATTTGTTTGTTTGGTAGTTATCAAACAAACAAATCAAATATTTGATTCATGTTTGTTTGTTGCGGAGTCTGCTTGTCAATGTACCGCCAACACCACCAGCTTCCCCAAAACCTAAGAAAAAAGTCCGCTTTGCCGTCGACCACTTCGTCCGCCTGTTCCCTATTACACGCGCCCGTGCGATAGGAAGTCCAGAACCAGCAGTGCCAGAACCAGCCGCTGAACCCGCCCGTCCGATACTACCACCTAGGAGAGCTGCACCGATACTACCGCCGACCATAAAGGATCTGTTCACGAAGGGATACAAGAACGACGAAGAACTGAGTTCTATACTAGAGGCCCTCCGTACTAGACAGAGTCGTCACAAGAGGATCACACTCGCCGAGTGTGTAGAGCGTGAAGGTTACCTGTATTATCGAGACCGCCTGTACGCGCCTAATGACCCTGAGCTACATGCTGAGCTACTACGGATGTACCACGAGAGCCCTGTCGCCGGCCACATGGGCCGATCCCGAACCTACGAGGCACTGTCCCGAGAATACTACTGGCCTGGAATGCTAGACTACGTCGAGCAATGGGTTCGGAACTGTCACACTTGTAGACGAATTACGACGTCACGAGAAGCAAAACAAGGAGTCCTGAAACCGTTACCAATACCTAACCGAGCCTGGCAAGATCTGTCGATGGACTTTATCACGCACCTGCCTAAGAGTAGTGGATTTGACGCTATCTTAGTCGTAGTAGACAGACTCACTAAGATGAAGCACTTTGTTGCTTGCCAGGGTACCTGCGACGCCGAGGAGGTATCGCGCCTATTCACGAAGTACGTCTGGAAGCTACACGGCCTCCCCAAGACTATCGTATCAGACCGAGGACCACAGTTCGTATCCGAGTTCTGGAGCCACCTAACCCGACGCCTAGGGATCCAGTCCATCCTGTCTACTGCGTACCACCCAGAAACTGACGGGCAAACGGAGAGAGCGAACTCCTTCCTAGAACAGTACTTGCGAAGCCAAGTTTCGTACCTGCAGGATGACTGGGCGAGATGGCTACCGCTAGCCGAATTTGCGGTAAACAACGCTAACAACGAGAGCACCCGCACAACGCCATTCTTCGCGAACTACGGCTTCCACCCCCCGCCTAGGATTCGAGCCTGTTGATCCAAGCCGACAGCCAGCGGCGCAAGACGCCGAAAATCTAGCCCTAAAGATGAAAACCGTCCACGAGTACTTGCGCTCTGAGATCTGTGTCGCACAAGCCCAGCACGAGAAGTACGCCAACAGGAAACGCAAACCTGCCCGCCAGTTCTTTGAAAACGACCTAGTGTGGCTTGACGCCCGGAATATTAAGACCGCCCGCCCGCAGAAAAAAACTAGACTGGAAATTCCTAGGACCCTACAGGGTCACCAAGGTCGTCAGCCCGTATGCTTACCGCCTAGAGCTGCCTGCTTCAATGAAGATCCACCCTGTGTTCCACGTGAGCCTGCTCCGCCCAGCTGCGACTGACCCCCTGCCTGGGCAGCGACAAGACCCGCCTCCTCCTGTCGAAGTCGAGGGAGTCGAGGAGTGGGAGGTCGAGGACATCCTAGACTCCCGCTGGGACCGCCGCGGCCGTGGAGGCCGGCCCCGACTAAAGTATATAGTGAAGTGGGTTGGATACGACGAGCCTACTGAAGTACCAGCCGACTACGTCGAGAACGCCCAGGAGATTGTCAAGAACTTCCACCGCCGTTACCCAGACAAGCCCCGTTGATCGCGTCGTCGGAGCTCCGCCTAAGGAGGGGAGTACTGTCACGGCGCTGACCTAGATAGCCTATTAGAGCGCGCCAAGCTGCTAAGCGAGCAGCTGCGCGATCGCTGAAATTCCTGCGCGAACGCGCCCTGTCGTACGCTCCTTGAGCTACGTCCTTGTCTTAGCCTGACCCCGTACTATCAGCGATATCGTAGTGAATATACTGATCACGTGCACCTACCTTCCCTGCCTGCCGACCCCGTGACATTGTTGCAGGAAAAAAAAATCGTGATAGGATTTTTGGTGTTGCAGTAGGTGGGTCTATGCTTACGATACGGTACGTAGTTAGCTTACGCGCCCTAACACGTAGCGTTAACACTTAAGTCGGGCACCATAGTTTCCGACACCCCGTAGTTTCCGACACCCCGCCAAAGTTCGACGCTGCCACCACTCTAGGTTGCGAAAGTGCTCACAACTTCATCGAATAATTCTGCCAACTACTATAAAAATTGCATTTGAAGCATTTTAGTCGCTTTTTTCATATGCATCAAAATCACGATCAAGATATCGTCGTGTTGGTTGTCGATTCCGTGCTGAACGTCGAATCAATGGTTGCTCTGCTCCCTCCTCAGAGCTCTCTCTTCTTCTACGATGATGACCTTCTGCTTTGCGCTTCTCACCTTGCGAACACGTTGAGAAGGCTCTTGATTAGTTTGAGAGAGAACCTCTGCAAGACTCGCGAAGAGATCGTTAGGATTTCTTCTGACTTTGCGGCGTTTTGGCGGGTTAGCTTGCTCCACCTGCTCGCGCAAGGAAGCAATTTCACGGTCTTGCATGGTGACCATTATTGAGGTACGATCAAACGCCGTGGCAGTAAGCCAAACACATCGGCGTGTATTTGGTGAGAAGCTCTTTCCAGAAAACAGCTTTACAACATCGCTGCCCCGTTTTGGCGTCCTAATGTCCGTGGTAGAAGGTGGTGGTGTTGACGGCCGTTCACGCACCACCACCCAGCGAGAACCCAAGGGCTTCCTCACGTTCTTGGGATACAAGCCTGTTGCTTTCCACCCTGATTGGATGCACTGCTCTCGAAGGCCGATTTTACGTGCTTCTGCATAAAAGCTGAGAAACTTGGCCTTCCCAAGCTTCGTTTTATCTGTCCAGGCCGTATACTCGCTGACGAAGCGCCGATACGCCGTCTTCAGACTCGAGAAACAGCCCAAATCCAAAGGCTGGAGTATATGTGAAGTATGAGCAGGTAAGAAGAGCAAGTGGACATTATTCAAGTAACATGTGGTCATAAATTCGTCTGAGGTATGACTGCCATGACCGTCGACGATCAGTAACCGTGCCTCGGAGGGATCGTCAGGCTCAGTCTGTGGCAAAAACACCCTCTCCAGCCACTCAACAGCGATGTCATTACTCGTCCACCTGTTTTGGGAAAAGGTAACGTACCAGCCGGGATTCTGAGCCAAGAAACTCTGCTTGAACAACTGCTCCTGGATGCTCTTGGCCCTAAAGATGACAAGGGGGTCCAGAGCGACACCAACTGCAGAGATACACTCTACCACAGAGGTCCAAGTACGGGCATTTATCGTCTTAACTGGTACGGAGTTCGGACTCTCCTGCGAGGAGCCTATGACAAGCCCATTAATGCCCTGGCCCTCCATGATACCGCCCTCGTCGGCATTGTACCTGCGCTGAGGGGGGATCCAGCTGACTGTTTCGTACAGGTTGAACAAGTGCCTGATGTTTTCTGGAGTGGCCTCATTGATGCGTTCCCAGCTAGTCCGGCGACCTAACTTTGACTTAATAGCCGGGTGGCGCTTCACGAAGTGACTGGTCCACTTCTTCCCCAGGTTCTTGTGGCCACCCTGTCGCTTGAGAACGGCGATTGCGATGGCCCGCACTTGCGCGTGCGTTGGCGCATAACCAAGGGCCTCTTGCTGGAGAATCCATTTCTCTAGGTGCTCTTCTTGAACGTTTGTAAGCCGTTGTTCACCGTCGTGAGCGCGCTGATGAGGTTGGGCACCATTAAAGCGGCCGCGAAGAGTGTTGCGTGGGACCCCGTGCCGGGTGGCAGCAGTGGCCAAAGCGACCCCAGATTCGAGGTCTGCGAGCGCATTCTGGACATCTTCTTCTGTGTATCTAGCCATTCGAAAACAGGGATAATGATGTAGAAATATTTTTGAAATTGACGAAGAGTTGAATTGTCTAGAGTTGATGTTTGGTCGTGGTGCATGGTGGGGAAGCGAGGTTGCGGGGCTGTCGGGAACTACGGGGTGTCGGAAACTATGGTGCCCGACTTAACTAAGCTACGATAAGTAGTCTTATCCTATCTATGCAGAAGATGCGTTCCGTCGCCAGAAACCAGGCGCCCTGTTGAAATCTTCCTCCCAACGCATGAGCGGCGGCCTTACATACAATTCCGGCCAGAAATCATCCTCCTGCAACTGATCCTGAACATCAACGTAGTCACTGGTGTCGACGTACATCCAACCGACATCTTCATGGTCATCATTTGTTTCTCCGCCCTCCCAGTCAAACTTCTCGTCTTCTTCGTCTTCCTCGGCTTCGTCTTCTTCGCTATCGGGCGCCCAGTTTCTCTTGACGAGCTTGAACACGGGCTTGCCCATCATCTCGATTGATTCGAGGCAGATGTCGTCAACAAGAAGACAGAAATTGTAGCGAGATCCAGCATGGTGCAGATAATCCGTGCTGCCGGCTGCGCCAGTTATTTCGTCCTTGGTCGCGGGCTCGCGGTCGGCACGCCAGTTACGTTGTAGCTCATCTACGGCCCAGCTATTGAAGTGCTCGCGGATCTTCTCGGGACCTGCTCCTTCGAATTTGGACTGATCATCCATCACGACCAACTCATGTCTTGCGAGAAGGCCTGGTTGAGCCTGATATACTGCTAGTGATGACTCGATATCTCGGCGGAGCACAGAGAGTATACGATGCCAAGCCGCATCGTCGTTGTACGAGGCACGGTACACGGCCAGACCCCAAGGCGCGTCTGGTTTGAGGATATTAAATAAGTCGTTCAACACCCTCAGGGGGTCAGCCGTTTCTGTCAGGACCTCTGCGCTATAAGCCTGGAACAATTCCTTGCTAACGGGATGCGCCCTGGCAGCCGCCTCGTGAGCAGCATTGACCTTGTCGGGATCGAACTCTGACTTTGTGATAACGGCCATAGCCTTGTCAAGATGATCCATGTGAGCCCGAACGCGGGCTCTTTCCGCGTCTGTAAGTGGTTGCGCCATGGCAGGGGCTGTCTGGGTGGACCGGGCACGGTGGTGGTGAAGTGGGAGGCTGAAGAACGAGCGACTGGAGGATTGGAAAAGACTCTTGCTCACTGTGATTGCGAGGTTTGGACGTATAGTACCCCTCAACCAGATGAGCATGCGGACTTGGATGAGATAAGGAGAAAGATAGGTCGAAGGGTGGGGGAAAAGGGGGGGGCGGGTTATTATACAGCAGCAGTGCTAGTCAACAACGTGTTCCCCTACCTAGTAAGCTAGCCACACTAGTAAGCTGGCCGCCCCACTCAACCTCACCCGACGTGACGCACAATAAATTTACAATAACATAATGAAATGAGATAAACTTTAAAGATTTGTTATTAAGCTTGATATAAAGTCTAAGTATAACGTGGTTCACAACCGAGTCGGCCACTTTACCCTACCAAAACGCCTGAGCAGCAATGCAGTACATCACCACAACATATTTTTGTACTATCGCGACAGTGTAGTATTATTCAGAAGCGTCGCTATCATCTACATCCTCTATTTCTACCTTACAGGTGCGAGAGTTATGCCCAACCTCGCTGCAACGGCCGCAGCGCCTCTCTGCGCGCACCCTCTTCGCAGGCGTCTCGCTGTCCTCACGCCTACCACCCTCTATCCCAGGGCGCTATCCCAGGGCGCTATCCCAGGGCGCTAATAACATTCAGCCCTCCATGTCGTTAGGGTATTATTTTAGTTAGTGCTCAGATATCCAGATTCCGGCGTAATTTTAGGTACGTAGGCTCCATGGCGTTACATTTAGAAGCTGGTGTCGTTAGGTTCCCGCAGGCTGATGTGTCCAAAACTTAAGTATGTTAATTAGCGCATCAAGTTGCACTATGCGTCCGATTTGCATACCCGTCAGGTGTGTAG